AAGAAATGTCATGTTTTCATCACAGTTCGCTGAGAGTTTTAGGGGAAAAAGGAAAAAGAAAGAAAAATGGAAGACGAATAACATTTGAACAAATTTGTCCTTTCAGAAAATCACCCTCAAAGATAGGAAAACAAAATTAAACACAAGTAGCTACAACAATGACCTACAGACCCAGAACTAGATCCAGACACAGTGCAGGATGTAAACAGTAACTCTGTGACAACTTTCTCCAAAGACAAGAGGTTTTACGGGACTCAGGACCAGACAAAATTTGAGGAACTCCTTACGTGACTGGGCACATCCAATGACATTTGTGGAGATGTGTTAGCCTAAGAAGCCTTCAGACTCACAAGGTACCTATCAGCCCTGTGCAGGCATGGCAGAGAACTTTTGTAAACTGATCCTGTTCTGCAGCGGCAGCTGGCAACAGGGACAAACACTCTTGGGCATCTCAAATGGCACTAGAAATGTATGTATGGGCAACTAAATAAAGCCCTAAGTGTTAACCAGTGCAAACTTGCTACAGGAAGAATGGAGGAATTTGAATGACTTCTGTACTTGATTAAATTCTAGAGTACTTAAAAAAACCCAAACAACAAACAAACAAACAAAACAAAAAAACAACAGAACCCTGACTTTGCCCAGTACAAGATATTATAAAATGCTCCATATTTAACCTGTCTGAAACGAGAGGCAAATACAATTTATTTGTATCAGAGTGGCACAGAGAAGATAAGTATGTTACAGCTAAGTAACACAGCATTTTTCCATAAACCACGTATTTAAAATAACATGTTTACTTTTTAAATACATACTTTTTAAAACTAGTGAATATTCAAGAAGTTTACGTTTACAGTCCATTTTATTTCTGTGCTATTAGCCAAAAGAGAACATAAAAGTAAACTTAGCCAAAATAGAGCCAATCTCTTCTTCCACTCCACTTTGCCTATAAGCTCTTCTGTGTGTTTTCCTGTTTGAAATTTAATTCTGTTAAACGCCCCAGCAAAACATGAAGTCTACCTCCTTGATTTGACAAAAGCAGAAATAAAGCTTCTCACTTCCCTTAAAAGACCAAGAATAGAACTGAGGATGAAATTAATGCAAATAGAACTGCAAATAACTACTTTTTTTTCAAATATACAAAAATGTGTTCTACTAAGTTTAGTAGGTGAACTCACTGAGTAATTTAAAAAATCAAGAATGTATTTTTTAAATAACTAATACTGTAAGTATTTACAATACAATTTACTGTGTTCCAATAAAGACTTTAGTTTAAAAAGCATATTAAATACTAAAATCTCTATATAAAATAGAAATGCAAAGAACCTGAAATGCTACACATTACTGTGCCCCTTTTTTCTGAAAAGTTTGTAAATCACAGTTTAACCCATGACTGTCAATTTCTTTGATTATTCCATGTGCAAACAGACCGTAATAGGAGGTCAGGGAAACTGATTATATCATCTAGACAGAAGTTAGAATCACAAAACAGATTTATCTTTTATGTATCTGATCTTTTTCACAGCAAGATTGTTGAACATCCCTTTAAGATGCATATTGTTCTGTATAGAATCGAGCCACAATAATGACAGAGAAGTACAAAATAATAAATTATAATATACTTGAAATGAAATGTTAAAAACCCCAGAATTTCCATGTTCTCAGTTTCATAAGATATGACAGTAGTTAAAGATTCTAATTCTATTAAATTTAATTAACATATAAAGTCCATTGCCAAAATATTTTAAGGAAGTCAAAGGAAATGCAGAATATCAAAACATACACTCTTTTACATTTATGTGGATAATGATTCATATTTCAAAAAATAGAGAGACAAATGTGATTTCACAAGTCATATGCCAACTACAGACCGATTAAGGAATCAGTCTCATATAGAGAGCACTGTGCTGTGCTATTTTGGAACTTTTTGTGTGGCTCACTAGCATGGAAATAAAAAAGATTGACCTCATAACAAAGAATTTAGTCACGAAACAAGATATACCAGAGTTCATTTCCACTTACCGAATTCCTGCACAGCATTGTTAAAGCCTCTTCCCCTCTCTGCATTCTCCTTCCCCCTTTCCAAAAGAAATGCAGTGGTAGTTCTCTACCTTGTAAGAACTACTAGCAGGTAAATGAAGTCACTGTCCATAAGGAAACCAGCCAGCCAGACCCCTGTCTATCTGGTGTGGCAGTTCCTATATCCCTCTATGAGATAAAAAGCACATGCATATCTTGAATATTAATCTTATCAAGGTCAGGAATCTTTAATTTTTGTTCCTCTTCACTATATTCTTTACATTTATTGTCTTTTATGATAGTTATAAACAATATGTGAACAATTATGTCAGTGCTTAAATACCACAGTAAAAAAAACATTGCTTTTTTCAAGCTGGGAAAACCATGTTCTTCAATACCAAACATTTTGGTAAGGTCCATTTTTATGACATAAGCTGTGGTATAGGATGGGGGTTTTTGTTTTGGTTTGGCTTTTTCCTTGTTTGTTTTTGGGCTTTGTGTGGTTTGATTTTGTTTGGTTTGTTGTTTTTTTGGTTTTTTTTCTCCTTTCAATTGCTCCATCATATAGGATCTGCATTATTTAATCCCCAAACAAGGCATGCAGATATAAAGTGTTAGCATCTACCTAGCTGCACATGTGAAAAAAAAATCCCCATAACCCAGGATCAAAGTGCATATAGGATGATGAATTTTCAGAGCTTTTGAAAACAAAGGCCAGGACCAACATAAAATGGACGTTTTTGTAAGGCAAAGGATAAGGGACTGAACTGAAAGTTGCTGTAGCTGGAAGTACTCCCTCCCCTGGCCAAAGCATTTAGCTTTCCTGTGCTTCAGTGTCACCATCTATAAAAGGGCTGATTTGTAATCCATCCTCCTTTGCACATTATTCTGACATCTCTAACTTGGCAGCATTCTAGAAGCTGAAGTAATATTTTATTTTGGTGAATATATAATAACATATAGGGGATACAAATATTAGCTGCAGTAATGCCTCATGTTGAAATGCCTCGTCTGTATATTCATATCACAGTGTTATGTTTTTTACCTCAAAGCACTTTGATTAATTGAGCTTCTTCCCGCCACTCAGGACAGGATTTTATTATTCCCATTTTGTAGATTTAAAAAAAATAAATAAGCCTTTACAGTTTAAATAAAAAAGATAGCTAAAGTCAAACCAAAAGTTTCTGAAAGCAAGATTTCCATGTTCATATTCTAACTTCATACAGCTATAAAAAATATAGCCACATTTCAAGTTAATTATTTTTATGAATTCGAAGTTAAATATCTTGATACCAGACTTATGCTTCTAGTCCTAAATATAGAGAGCTGTATATTATTATTTGAATGTGCAGATCCAAACAAAACTTAGAGAACACAAAGAAAACCTGGTGTTTCATTTTGCTACGATTTTTACAGCCTAAATACAGTGTTTCTAGCTCAGGCCATCCTTATGATATTTTAAGGAAAATCTTAAGCCAAATCTCGAGTTTGTTGTTGCAACAGCTTTCTGGAAAGGACCTTCTCTACATGAGAGCAGTACAATCCAGCCAAACACCCACTCTTTATCAGTGCCTTTCCACAATGAACTAATTCCTTAATCACCTTCTTGAAGGCTAAAAAATTGCCCCATATCCTGACTGTCCAATTCTATTTCTAAGATTTTAAATACGTACAAAAAGAGTATTTGCCATGATATGCATATGTCAGAGGAGTGTCTCATGCTGTGCTATAAACCAAGGTGCAGTTCCTTCTGCGTGCAGGTGTTTTTCTTTATGCTGGAACCTTATCTCTGAGCACTGGATACTGTACACACAGAGCTTTATACATGCCAAAATGCAAAGAAGCCAAATAAACGTGAGGAATGCCTACAGAATCACAATTTCTGAGAAGTCAGAAGTCTTCTTTTTATATTAAAAGATATTTTACAATATCTTAGTCATCAATTTAGCCTGATGTTAAAGTTTTTAAATGCCTGGGTCTCTTGACACTTTTAACAGAAAATTTATTTGAACCTGCTTTGCCTCAGAATATAATTCCTGGCTTGCATTGCTTAATAATGTGTACTGAAAAGAGAATACTCCTTGATGCCTAGAGAAGTTGTGGATGCCCTTGGAAGTGTTCAAGGCCGGCTTGGATGGAGATTTGAGCAACCCGGTCTAGTGGAAGGTGTCCCTGCCTGGCAGGGGGCTTAGGCGGTCCATTCCAACCGAAACCATTCCACGCTTTTGTGATGCCATGATTTTCAGGGACAGATGAGCGCACTTCAACAATTGTACTCTTCAATATCATCAATTAAATTTTACTGATGTCAGAAAAAGTCGTTCACAAATACTTTGGACAAAAACAATTAGGAGCAACTAACAGAAGTTCCTTAAAAATTCTGTGAAGCCATTGCTCAAGGACCGGTTTCTGATTGCAATTTAAAATCTAGAATTGTCATTTTAACCAGACGCTGACGGGGTTGTTGTTTGTAACCCACTGAGCAGCACAAACCCATGGTGACCTCCGAGCGCTGGGGCTGGCTTGACAGCACATCCGTGGTGTGCGGGGACACCACGACAGCGGGCGCTCCGCGGCCCAGCCCTGCCACCGGCACCTTCTCCTTGCTGGCACACCGGCCCGGGGCGGCGGCAGAGAGCGGCTCTGTCGCCTCCACAACAGGAGGAGAGCGGAATGGAGGAAGGGGAGGGAGAGGGAACGAGGAGAAAGAGGATGAAAGGGTGAGGGAAGAAAAGGGAGTGGAGAGACAGAGAGAAAGAGACAGGAGGGCGGGAGGGAGGCAGGAAAGATGGAAAGATGAGGAAAGGGAAGGAGGGACAGGCGAAGCCGGAGGAGGAAGGAGCACGGAGAAGAAGGAGAGAGCGCCGCGCGCCGCCCCGCCAGCCCCGCTCTGGGCTCCCTGAGGGCCGCGTGGCCCCGCCCCTCGGAGGCGGAGCGTCGCGCGCAGCCCCGCCCCGCTCCCTTTGTGCCGGGGCCGCGCGCGCCAGCCGCAGTCGCCGCCGCTTCCCGCCTGGGCAGCGCGCGCCCGTCCGCCTGCTCCTTCTTCCCTTTCTCCCTCCCCCATTCCTTCCCATTCCCTCTCACCGCTCTCCCGCTCGCCATGTCGCTGGGAGCCGGCCCCGAGGCGGGCTTCTCCAGCGAGGAGCTCCTGACCCTGCGCTTCCCCCTTCACCGCGCCTGCCGCGATGGGGACCTGCCCGCCCTGTGCGCGCTGCTTCAGAGCTCGCCCCGCTCCGATCTGGCGGCCGAGGATTCCTTCTATGGCTGGACGCCCATCCACTGGGCCGCGCACTTCGGCAAGGTGGGGCCTGGCCGGGCTCAGCCGGCGGCGGGAGCGGGGGTGGGTACGGGAAGGAGAAGGGGAAGGAGGGCGCGATTCCCGCTCGCGCGCAACGCGGCGCCATCTTTGCCCCTAGCGCGCGCTGTGCCGGGAGGCGCCGCCGCCCCCCCCCGCCCTTTCCTCACCGCCTCCTGCCGCTCCTCGGGGAATCGGGCGGGACGGGAGCGGACAGCCGTGGCTCTTGGCTCCGTTCCTGTCCCCGCGGTCAGCGAGGCGTGGGTGGCGCAGGTCACGGGGCTGGCGGCACCTGCCGTCTCGGCATCACTCATCCCACCCCCGCTGCCGCCGACAGCCGCCCCTCTCCCTCCCCGCCGCTTCCCCGGTGACAGCGGCGGCCCCGCGCCTCGCGCTGCCGAACGGCGCCCGGGCCTCCGGCACGGGAGCGAACGGTGAGGAGCGGCCATCCCCTCCGCACACCCCCGGCGGACGCCGGCCTTGCGGGCTGGAGGCACCGCCGCGGCGCGACCCCTTCCCCGCCCTCGGCCGATCCTCCTTCCCTGCTGGCCCTCACGGGGCGCTTCGCGCTTTGTCTGCGCGGTCTGGTCGCCATCCGTGTCGTGCTCAGGCTCCGCACCTGGAGACCGCTGTGTTGTGGTGCCCGTGTTATGACAACCGGCTCCTTGGGAGTTTGGGCAGAAGGTGCTTGTTGTGCCTGTGAGGCGCTCCTCTTTTGCCTTCAGTAGGAAAAATAAATTGCGGTTGGTTCATACTTATGGAATTTTCTGCATTGGCGTCTTTGCGTTGTAGAAAAGACCGAAACATAAGTAGCTACGCTAACTTCGCATCTTAGACGGAGTGGTATTCTAATTTCTCGATTTTTATATACGCGTTTCCTGTTTCTGATGCAGTAAGTATCTCAGACTATGCAGAATTCCAGCCTAGAGGGTTGGGATCTAGTTTTGTTTCCTCATTGATTTGTCTGAATTCAGAATTCGAGGGGCTTTTGTTCTTGTTCTCCCTCCCATTTCCCATATACTTCTGTTTGCTTATTGGTTGTGTGCCAGAGGAGGAAGATTGATGTACTTAGGCAGTTGTCATGGTTTATAAAAGGACATTAGGAGACAGTTTCTATACGTTATGTGATCTTATCTGCAGTTGCTTCTTTTAGAAGCAGCTTTAGCTAAGTAGTCTTCCAGTCCTAAAACAAAGCAAAACAAAAAACCCTAAACCCACAAAATCCAAAACGTAGAATACTGTTTTATCTGTTCAGAAAGATGCTAATAATCTGCACTCCAAAAAAAGTGGAGTGCCTTTATTTTCCTTGTGAAATACGCCCGCAGAAAATATCAAGATACTAATTTGCCTTACAGTCTTCTGTTTCTTTCCTCTGTCTTGTAAGAATTTCTTTTCAGTATGATCTTCTGGCAGCCTTGCTTTTGCAAGGTAGTGGTTATTGGATGTAGATTTTGGATAGTGTGTGTTGTTTTGTTTTTTCCTTTAAGCATCTTCAGCTTTCTGCTAACCATCCTAGCTTGAGCGAGCTTTTGTTTGCATTCCAGTTTCTCTTGAAGAGACTCTTGCAGAAACTGTAAACAAAGGGAAGAAGTCGGCCTGCAACATGTTGTGCTTGTATTTGCTATATTCGTTCTTGGGTATGAGCAAAATTTGATGTTGCATATGGGGGGAATCTGACAGATGAAATGAGACTTTCAAAGGTGACATAGGTTATAAATGGACTTTATAGAATTTTGTGTATATGTTTTTTCCTTAAAGCCATCAGATCTAGGCAGCAATTTATGGAAGTTATCTACATACTTTATAGTCTTGTTAAGTTGTGTTCCTTTCTCAGAGCCGAAGACTGCACAACACTTTGGAAAAGTTACAGTAGAGTAATTCGATCCCAAACACGACTGGTTTGTGTTTGTGTGGCATGGTTACACCTGTGCCTTTCACCAGTTAGAAGAGTACTGCCAGCAGTGGTACAAGAGCTGCTCAGATGCCTGTCTGGCATTTGTATTTATGGCTTTTTTTGTTTCCCAAATTCAAATTCACATCGAAACAAAATGGAAAAGTCTTCTGTTTCTCAAAGTACTACAGTTTTCAAATGTTAATTTTTGAAGTGTTCATTAACAGTTACTGAACAGGTCTCTTTCTCTTCACTTCTTTGTCTTTCTAGATTTTGTGGGATTTTCACTTGTTTGTTTTTTTCTTTTCCTGGAAGAAACTATGTTATGACAGAACTTCATGTCTGTTCATGTCTGTCTGTCTGATATAGGGCCAATTAGTAACATGGTTCACTAGACATGTATTGGTTCTCACTGCAGCTCTGCAGGAGGCTGAAACGACAAAACTGATTTAGTTATTTTCTGGAACTACTTGTAAGCAATGAAATCTAAGCCAGTTCATACATGTACACCCACGTGTGCCTGCACACGCAGCAGGAGTCCAGTTATGGTGAACTTCAAAGAGAGTTTTCGTTCCCCCTTGTTCCCTCTGTCTGTGGCAAAAGTAGAGCATGAAAGATGTCTCTCTGCATCAGAGGGCAGTACAGAAGAATTTTACAGTAAAGCTGTGTAGAACTACGTTCTTGCATGCAACTGTACATATTCTTCGGGAAGGAAGTAGCATCAACGGTCAGGTTGTTTATAAATGAATATGTGGAAGAGGAAAGGTGGCTTTTGAGGAGAGAATACTGGTGTAACATCGGTACCAGTAAAAATGGGGTCTCTTACAATTGTAAATGAAAACAGAGTTCTTGAACAACTTACTCTAAAACATACTTCTGCAGCTTGCAGGTGATACTTAAAATACCAGCAAAGTCAATTGGAGGTGATGGCTATTGAGCTCATGTTTCTAGTTATACTATCTGGGCATTTAGTGACAGCATGGACCTCCTTTTAGAGAAAGTAGCAAGTGTGAATTTACTTGTTTTGTTGAGTACCTGTGGTGGAGTTTGCATCTTCAGGGCATTCCTTGACTGCAGAAAAGTGCTTGTCTCCTGAGATGTGAATTAATTCCTATTAGAGTTTCTGTATTTTAATTGGAGTTAATTATATAGTGTCCTAAATTACACTGGTATTTTATTGATTTTTGAGAAGATGGGTCAGAATCTAAAAGTATTAACAGTCTAAAAAAGCTACCAGACAGGTAGAAAATCCAGGGCTTGCATAAAAAAATTACTTTGGTCTTAGTCCAACACAAAATGAATTAAAATTAACTGTAATTTTCCTTTCAATCACTTGCAATTGAATTTTTATTTTCTCTGAGCACATCTATTTGCTTGTGCTCGTCTTCCGCTTTTGCTTTTTCTCATTTGACTGTTTACATTACAGGAAGCAAAAGAGTATTAAATATGTTCTGTTTCTTTTGGAACAAAAATGATAGAGATAAAAATCCCTGTCTCTTGCTTGGTATTTTGCCAGTGTTGTGGCCTGTGTAGAGGCCTGTCTTTCTTCACTAAATCAATTTAGCCTCTGCTTTAGGTTGGAAAATATTCACTGTATTAAATTTAGGTTATTTAATGAAAGTGGACTTGTGTGTCCTGATCTCAGGCATAAATGATCAAGTGAAGTATTGTTTTTTTTGTCATGTTGACTTTTCCTGTTCATGGATGTAATTCATCTCATTGTTCCATAACGTTGGAAGAAGCAGGTATTTCTGACAGCCATGATACAGAAGATCCATACTCAAGCTTTTAATGGGATGAAATTTTACTCATTGTTAAACCCCTATGACTCTAAAGTCAGAGTATGCAAAAAAAAGCCAACAGAAACAAAAAGGAATGTCTAAAAATGAAGTTGCATGGATAATCATGGTGTATGGTCATCTTAGATTTAAACGGTGCAGGATGGTACTAGTCAATCAGTTTCTGTGTTTTTCCCTTTTCAGCTGATGGGCTGTAATGCCTGTCTAATTAAGGAGTTCTTTCAGCCTGGTGCCTGTGCAGGAAATATTATTCTTTCCTGAAGTTGTAATGCTTGTCTGGAAGTGTTTTCAAATTAACTCTATTAATAAAGTCTATTGTTCTAAAAACTGGCTGAAATTTATTTTTGCCTTCAGTTACCACAGGTGAACCTCTTGGTGTAGCTGGAGGAGTGTTTTCCATCACATGACTTGTTAACAATTGCGGTGTAACAATTTAATTAATAATGTCTAAGTATTGACTGCAATATTACAAGTGCTAACATGTGAACATCAAGGAAAGTGTAATAATATTGGCAAATACAAACTGTAGTTCAGTAGTGTAGTGTTGGAGTTAAAAATTTTCTTATACTAGTTATTTGATGTGTTGGGGTTTTTTTCCAACAAAAATACTTGTTTTCTTTTGAAAAGGTACTTTGTCTTTGGCAGTGTTGATGTTTATGGAGCTAGATTCATTAGTATGCAATATTCCAGTTAGCCTCACCCTTACTTCATGCAGTTAGAGAGCTCGTGGTAAAACTTGTCCAGCCTTAACTCCATTACAGTCCAAAAAATTACTTCTGTTTATTCCAAAGGATATGGTTTGTTTGAATTATATGAGGGAAGGAGACAAATGAAGTTCACAACGTATTTGCAAAACTAATATAAAATGCTTTTTTACAGGGGTTGATACTTTTATCTCGCGTGTGTAATTCAGCAAGATCAGGAATTTACAGGTTGAGAGAGGGAGAAAGAAAAGCTGATATACAGCAACAGAGAACAATGTTATAATCCTGATGTTGATGCTTCTATCTGAGTCAAGCTGCCAGCCTACATTCAGATTTTTAATTGTTCATTTATGGACAGACTTTTCCACAGCTGTGGTGTGGCTGATGTTTTCTTTAGTTGTGATACACTGGGACACCCACAGATTTGTTTTATATGAACCAATGCCTGAGCCAGTGTAAGGATCTTTGTTTTGCTGTTGAACGTGTGTGCAGTGGTATTTGTTTTCTACCCACAGTAAATGGAAGCCTAGACTAAACTGTTTATTTCAGCATAGTCAGTTCCTTTTCCTATCAACAAGACAATGCTACTCTGTGACAGGAAAGAAGTGTTTTGACTATTTTTGAAAGTTGAGGTCATTGTAGCTGTGGTTTGCCTGGTTTCTATAAATGAGAACTTATGAACCTTTAAAAATTCTATCTGGCTATCTGACACTTCTGTCTAGTATGTTAGGAAAAAAAGGGCAGAATATAGTTTGAAAAAGTGCTACCATTTTTTAAAACAAAAAAGACATTTATTATCTTTGTGGTGCTACAAACATGCACCCTGTTTTATTTTCAACAGTTTCTTATATGAAATAACAAGAAAATGGTGGAATTAATTTATTTCTTGTATAGATTTAACTTATTATATATATTGTTAAGTATCAGTTTTCTTGACTAATCTTCAGTCACTCCAGGAATACATTAAAGAAATGAAAAATCTTTTGTTTTTCTGATACAGCTTTCTATAAACTCTCCCGAGAGTATGAGTCCAGGATCTCTGTATCTCGTAACAACACTTTTGTTTTGGCAAATATTATCTAATAATAATATCTGGTTAGTATCATGTTTGCTGGATCAGAACTCTTCCCCCCCGCCACTTTTTTTTGTCCTTTTTTTTCTTTCCTCCCTTTCCACCCTCTTAACAAAAGTGAACTGAATATCTCTTGTAGTTAGGATTGAAGTGTTTATGCCCTCTTTTCTGAAATTGAAGGTGAAATTCAGTTTTGGAGGTGAGAATTAAGTACTTCTCAGATATGGTCTATGATCAAATGAGGGAGGAAATCCTAAATTTCATATTCTGTCTTGTTTTTCATTCATGTAGTCTTACTAGTAAGTTTAGCTCTTCTAGGTTTTATGTAGTCATTTAGCACTTGCCAATTGTCATAGGACATCTGTGTAACATTTTTTGGTTTTATTTTCCCTCATGTCTTTAAAGCTGGAGTGCCTAATGCAGTTAGTAAGAGCTGGAGCTTCTGTAAATGCCAGTACAACACGTTTTGCTCAAACACCAGCCCACATTGCTGCTTTTGGAGGACATCCACAGTGCCTGAATTGGTTGATTCAAGTGGGGGCCAACATAAACAAACAGGTACGGATTAACGTGTATTTCACCTATGCATATAGTTTTGCAAGAAGTGTTTTGATCTCTTTTTCTGACATGTATGATTGTTACATTAACATACAGATACTTTATTTTTGACATCAGCTGAGGTCAAATGACTTAATGATCAGTTATAGACATTTTACATTTCAGTAGAGATAGGACTAATAAATGTCCTTTAAGCCTCTAGAGGTTTGGAGGATATTTGTTTTAGGAGTTGACATCTTGCTGCTTCTTGAACAAAATGGTAATGTTGCCGTGGTATTGGCAGCATTAGCAAATACTCTGATATTGTAGTGCTGCTGTAGGGACAAGAAAAAAAACTAGTGAGGAACATAATACTTACTAAATATGCTAAGAATTGAAAAATTTACCATTACCTACAGAACCATGAGACCTTAGTGGTGCTTCATGATTTACTCATACATCTAACTAGTAAGGGCTGCCTTGATTTATTTTAACGTGCATCTGGTTTTATGTTGTTTTTCTTTTAGGTTATTTCTAAAGCTTTTCTAGTAGCTTTCTGAAAATAGATCAGAAACATGTACTTTACTAACAAAGAATGAATGGGTGATTTAAAAGATTTATTTTGCTTTTTTTTACTATAATTTTCATTAGTTTTACGTGAGTATGTAATTTATTTGGTAGCAGAGAGTGCATTAATATAACAAAATTCCTGCAAAGGACTGTTGACTCTGGTACAGTTACAGAATAAACACGTAAAAACTATCATGTTTTTGAAGAAAATGTTTGAAGTACTGAATGAATCTGTTAGGTATGCTGGGCATACATAACATACTTTTTAATGGTAATAAAAGTATTTTTAATAATATTCTGTGAGAGTAACTAATACTACAGCATATGCTGTTTTAAGAAGCTGTGGTATAGTACAGCATCCATAAAATGTCTGGCCTGTTAAATCTTGTATCATACTTTTCATAAAATATTAAAGGGCCAGACTGCATTTTATATGCAGTAGAGTTAAGCTAAGTCTGCTGAAGAACTTAAACATTTGCATTTCTAGAGTTTGGTTCTTTTTTTTTTTAAGCTGTGCAAAAATAAGAAATGGGGAAGTTTGTGTTGAGTTTTCAGAAAAGAAGTCTGGTGCATTGAGAGCAGCTGTGAGACACCAGGAGAATTGTAGAAACAATGAAGGTGGCTGGATGCAGAGGCTATAGATCGCATCTTCTCCTTGATACCTGACAAAAGTAACTTATGCAATAAGTTATTGCTGCATAGTGGTAGAATCTTCAGAAGAGAAAATACAAGAACTATAAATGCATCTGGAGACCAGGTAAGAATGTAAAGAAATGGTGATTAGAGAGGAAACATGGCATGCACAGAATAAAGATATACAAATAACTGCTAAATGAGAAGAGAAGAATGAATGAAAGTGAATGAATGAGAAGAATGAAAGTTTCCAGCTATGAGGATAAAGAGAAGAACTGACCAGTGAGGTTGAAATGGAGTTGAAGAACAAGCTTGATGTCCTGGAACATGATGAGGGGGAAAAAAATCACATGTAGGGAGTGAGGTTGTAGCAAAGAAGAAAGTAGCAGCTAGCTCCCAGAAGAAGAGAAGAGTGTGGAGAGATCTCTCCATGGGCTGAGGGCAACATGCAGATGACTGTAAAAGAAAGCAGAAGCAGTATAATATGCAGTTAAAAATGGGCAGGAGACTCATTCCATTTTAAAGAAGTTACTAAGGCAAGCCAGTGACTCAGGAGTCTGTATGTTGATGGCTTGTTGCCAGAGTAAATGGTTCTCCACATTGTCAAGTTTTCAGATGGTGATAATAGTATTCTATAGAGTTCTAGGGCAGACTTAGGCAATGACAGACCACAGACACAAGAGAGATAGGTACTGAGAGGTGAGACTGTGGGTGCCTTGTATGTGGTTAATTGTAGGCTCAAGTTACGCTTGAGTGTAGTAACTACTTTTTGTCCCCACAAAATACTAATTGAGCATATGACCAGAAGTAATTCAGGCTCAGTTCAGTGATAAAATAAGATACTTCTGGTTAATTAAAATGGTAGTAGAAACAAAAAAGTCTCCTAAATTCATAGGATGCAACTTGTCAGTCACACTGTTTTCACATGCACAAGCACTGAAATCTAGGCAGTGTGCCTTGGTGATAACTGAAGCAGAAAACTCATCCCACAGATAGCTGCAATGTTTTATACATGGCTATGTAAAGCACAGTGCATGCTTTGCTATCCCCAGTTCCCTTAGCTGTTTATTGAATTGTGGTTGAATTCTACTATTCTTGTTTGATTTGAACTCCTTAAATGATCTCAGTTCCTTATTTAACTTGCAAGCACTTTTAGGTGATCATCTAGGGCTTCCACCCACACTTTTGAGCTTTTGGAGCACTATTTCCTGATGTGTATTTTGTTTATTCCTTCCAGCTCGCTGACTGATGCTGTACTTCAAACAGACATAGTCACTGGCTAATGCTTGTGTGAGGACAAGTGTTCCATGGACACTGGATACAAAACACATGCTGAGAAAGATCTGGGAATGCTTGATATTTAAACTAGTAAACTTTTCCTTCCAAACTGACTTCTGGTCATTGGCTACAGACTAACCCTTCACTTCTGGAAAAAGAAAAGGATAGCTTCTGAAAAGGAATCCACACAAGTCTCTCAGTTTTACCATAAACCTCCGGTACTCAGTAGAATTTGCATGCATGCTTTCTCATATCTGCCCTGAGGTATGGTATTGTAGCTCATGCTGCCTGCCCTGAAGTTGAGGAAAACTTAAAAATGTCTTATCTCATTGCTGGTGACAGTTGCCCAGGACACTTCTCAGGCAGCAGCAATGAAGTACAAGTGCTGAAAACTGCTTTTCCCAACTGTACTTTGCTCCCCAAATAAATTCTGTGAGTATATTCTGTGATGCCCAGCCCTCTTATATAACTGTATGTGCTGGCTAGAATCACATCTGTCTCTCATCAGTGGGCAGTTCTGTACCGCCACGATCACCATATGAAAATGCACAGGAGGAAAACTGAAGTGCCGAGCAATTGTCTGTCTGTTTCTACCCAGTGTAGATTCAAGGGAATGTCCTACTGTTTCTGATTTTTCTTTTTTTTTTTTTTTTTTTTTCTCCCTCGGCAGGCTGTGCCGCTGTGCCTGCTAATAGTTCTTAGTGATGTGACTCAGGACCTACATTTGGCTGCCTGCCTGCTCTAGTTCACTGTAACAGTGCAAAGCAATTACTCTGCTACTTTTCCTGAGGATTTTTTTCTGTTTTATCCTTGTCACAACACAGATTGATTCTGGGCTGTGGTAATATTAACATCAGATAATAATGAATACTTTCTGATTTAGAAAACAATTAACTTTATTTAAATATTTTTCCCCTCTAGCCTCAGCCTATTAAACATTTCTATTGTATGTTGCCTTTCTTGATTGGCCAAAAAAAGTACTGTGTGGCCTGTCATAAAGAGAAGAGAACATGCACCCTTACAGGGGATGCAACTTACTAGTCATGCAGTCAGTTACTATCACATGGCAGTGGTGGCAGATAGTTTTAGGAGGATTAGGCTACCCATAGGAGCATGAACTGTAAACAGGCTGATGTCCTTGGTATGGAGGAAGAAAATATTATTTTGGTATATTACTGTTTTTATTTTAAAGAACAGTTAAGTCTAAGTACAGGTAAAAAGATTACATCAGTTCTCATTTGCAGTCAAAAGCCCTTTTAGGAAAGGAGGAAAATTACTTAGTGTTCTTTAGTTTCTACTTCCTAGCTTCAGAAAGGATAGCACACAGGGTCTAAGAAATGAGTAGTGTTTGGAAAAGTGATCATCTGATTGATCAATGAAATTCAATCAGTTGAGTTAAGGAATGGAGTTAGTTTGTATTACTTACCAAGTAAGGGCTTTTGTGTCTTAGTCAGATATCACTACTAGAAGTATTTTAGAAGGGCTTGCATAGTGTTGAGGTTTAACCCCAGTGGATACCTAAGCACCACACAGCTGCTTCCTTGTTCTCCCCACCCCTGAGGTGAGGGGGAGAATGAGAAGAGAAGCGTGAGAACTTAAGGGTTGAAGTAAAGACAGGTTAACAGGTAAAAAAAGGAAACAAAGAAAAAGAAATCCAAGAAAAATCAAGTGATAAAACATTTTCTTAAATCTCACAGCACAGCCCAAAAAGCTTTGTTGCACACTGCTGCCTGACTGATGCCCAGCCAGTGCTGGAGCAATGACAGCCCCAGTTTTATTTCCTGAGCATGATGATATGATATGATATGATATGGAATAATCCTCTGATTCATTTGGGTCAGTGGTCCCAGCTGTGCCACAATCCAGCCCACTCATAGCTAAAACATTGGTGTACTAAAAAAAAACCACTTTGGTTGCAAATCCAAAACACTTTAACAGGTACTGTGAAGAAAATTAACTCTATCGCATCCAAATCAGTATACATAGTTGAAAGCCTTCAGTGTAAATGTGTGTGGGAGCTTTTTATGTTAAAAATCCTGCAACTAAGTTGGTTTTGGTTGGGTTGGGTTTTGGGGTGTTCTTTTGCTTGTTTTGGTTTTGTTTTGTTCTTCTGTTTGGTTGGTTTTGTTTTGTTTTTTTATGAATGGAAGACATGTAAATGTACCAGTGAGTAAAATCAATTTAATCATATCCAGGGACTTGGAATTTGGTGAACAAAATAGGAAATGTGCTCTGAAATGTGCTCAAGCCAACAGAATTCAGGTTCCAAAAAGACAGAAGGAAGAAAAATGGAGTAAAAAATGGCTTTAGACCAAATTGAAAAAATACCCATACATACAGGAGGCCTGGGAAGAGAGTTTGAGAAAAGTATTTAATTAAAGTAGAGAAAAGGTCTTTTGAGGTTAAACAGCATAGTGAGGAACTGGAAACTGATTAATCAAGCTGAGATAGACTTAGTGATTAAAGTCAAAAAAAGCAGAAGACTCTTCAGCCACATAAGTAAAAAGAGAATCAGGAAGGAAGCTAGATATTGATTCAGTAAAATGAAATAGAAGTTAAAGGTAATCTAGTTCTGACCCCAAGCTAGAGAAAACTGCCCTTGTCTGTGTGAAAGGGTAGCCATTCTTTCTGATGGGAAGGAGGAAGACATTCAGCAGTGAGTTGCAAAAACTAAATGTCTCTGATGCTTCTGATGCCATTTCTTCAAGAGCACTGTGCAAAAAATATTTAGTAGCCACAGAACCAATTAAATGTATTATCTTGAATGCTAAATTAATGAAACTTAATTTGAGTTTTTACTCACTTATAAGGCATCCTCTAGACTGTGAGACAAGTTTGGACTGTTGGTGCAGTGTTGCAACAGAGAGACAAGTTCTGCTCTAGTTGTGAAAGGCCAGTACAAGTCATTGATGCTTCCCTTCCTGAAATATTAATACAAAAGGAATTGTATCAGACTCAAGCACAGATGGGGAATGTGACCAATTTAAAGGATTTTGAGGTGTTATCAGAGATAATCAGGAATTTTAAGAGCTTCTCAAAATAAAATAGCTTCTTTTGCTCCACATAAGTAAAAAGAGGTAGGGAAAAAGTGTCTTAGACCTAAGAATGTGCTGACAGGCTAGACCCTGAACTGCTCTCAGAAACTTCTTGGGAAAAAACTGTTAGTTTGTTTTCCTGTTTGGTCACATCCGTTCCAGTTGTTGAGTCAAAACAGAATTGTTCTGAGACTCATACAGAGGACTGTTGTTTTCTTCTGTATACATGGTTTTGGATACATTGAAAAATAACTAAATTTAAAAGCTATCTTTCAGTGGGATATGTATCTATTTTCCGTTTAGTCTAGCTTACAATCTAGAGAGAATTTCTGATGAGAGCTAGGAAAGTGTTTCAGTGCAAATATGTTTGGCCCCTTACAAGAATTTCAAGGCAACGTAATAGTAGTGATGACTGAAATTTGGGTGTTTTAATTAAAAGGAATGCTATAAAAATCTATGTCTCTGTATTCAGTAATTTTTTAAGTTTTTTTTTAATTCCTTAGCTGTAGACACATGGTTTTCTGGGCCAGTGATTGAAAGCAGCCCTTCTCAAGACATCTATTTTCTTCTGAAATACTAATCTTTTTTGTTTGGTGATGGAAGTGCTAGCTGCTATAAGCTTAGCTCATTCTTCTAATGCAGTGCTGGGGAGTCCTTTTGCAAAGGTCTTCTCTCATCCTTTTTGTGTTTCCCCACAGCAATGTCATAACTGAGTTCTCTAGATCTTACTGTGGGCAGTGTGCCAGGTTTATGGGGCTAGGGGAGATTTTGTTACCTCTATCATATGCATGGCCAACTAACCCGTAACTGAACTTCATATTAAGTGATCATCTTTTAACTTAGGGTTGGGCTTGTAGATACTAATGCTGACCAAAAGAGGCCAAAGACTTACTTTCTATACTTCACCACTTTAATGAAGGGGAGAGGGGAGGAAACCATAACAGGATGATGAATCGAAGACAACTTCTATGATCGGAAAATTTATTACACAAAGAAATTTTTTCTGGGTAAATTAATGTCAAATAAATTTCCATGTATAATAGTTTAAAAAATTGTATCCTGTCTTAAACTTCTCTGTCTTCCTGTTACTTCAGGGGACATTATAAATGGGAAAAATTGCATAAACTTCATTGGAAAGCAGTCTTCTATCCATCAACTGCAGACATCCACTTTGGAAGAAGGGCTGTATAGCCCTTTTCTAATCTCTAAGGCATTTGCTGCTCTTTTCTGTGTCCAAACTTTGTCAGCCTCAACAATTTTCCTTAGCTTATAAGCTAAATGGTGCCATTATTGTTCCCTGCTGGGTGTGTTAGGTAGTTCACTGTTTGGCTGAATATATGTCTTAAGCACTGGTAAGCTGGCTTACCCTCAGTGAGTTTGTAACTTGTTTTAAAGATATTTCACCATGAAATAAAATTGTCAAGTAGAAAATTGAGAATTCATACCTCATAATCCAAAATTCATTTTCAAGTTATGCTTACATGGCCTAAAAGATAGGATTAAATTTGTCAAGAGTTTGGCAGACTATTTAAGACGCTTGGTAGCTTCTAGATAGTATGATCATATTTTGCATATATTCACATCCACATAGAGCTAAAATGCAACCAGTACTGTGGGGTTAGGCATGTCCACTGGTGTGTGTAAACACTAGTGAATATGTAAAGGTGCTGTGTTTAATTTAATAGTGTTGATAATTTAATAAAGGAAACAGGGGAGCTAAACTGGGCACATACAGTTAGAATATGTTTAATATCTGAAACGGACTGGTGAAGTCTGTCAAAAGTTTGGAGACAAAGAGAAGGGGAATAAAAGGGGGAAAAAGCCAAAACCCTTGCTACACTGTGGAAGTATTGAGAATTAATCACATTAACAAACCAGTAACAACATCTACTTGCGACTCCAAGGCAATGGTTCATTGCAGTTTCTTCTCTGTGGTTCTTAAAACTGATGGTTATTTGCAAGTACTGAATTTCCTCTGCAGCCTGTAGATCATGATACGTGAATTTACCTGCTGCTTGCTTGGATTTGTAAAATTGTTGTAGATCCTCCCTGTTACCTGTAATACAGTTAATGGGGAGGAGTTTGCTGAAAAGCAATATTCTACTCCCAGTATGTCTGTACATTATGCAAAAAAATAAAATGATTGGATGTCCTGGTTAATAATAATGGAATATAAATTGACATAGAAAATCAGAAACGTATATAGGAGGTGAATCAATGTGTAAGTGTTGGGAGAGATCTGGCCTGTCCCATGAACACTGGGCATACCTCTATTACAGTAGAGCTCTGCCTATGTGCTCCTCTCCTGCTGAGCGCTGATGGTGCAACACTCGAGGACTGGGTCAGTGTGTCAGCAAGCTCTGAAAATAGCACAGTCCCACAGGCTCGGCCTTGCTGCTCCCGAGTTCAAGACGGCTTACACAGCCCAGTGTATTGGGGAACAAAAGTGCCAGGAAGTGAAGGTGTTAGAATAACGTGTTATGTGGTATATGTTGGGAGGGTTAATCAGTGTTGCTGAATATGAGTCTGCTGATTGCTGAGCTCTTGGATAAGTCTTATCTTGTGAGTTAATTGCCTTTAGTGTTACTTCTTGCTAAAAGTCTAATGTACATGACAGTCAACTTCAGACTTTAATGATAAAGTACCTGATGTATTTGCTAGCTAATAAATGCTGCTTTTATATGTCTGCTATCTTAATTAAAATGAGTAATGTAATAATAGTATTTTAATTTTTAGAAAGATTATGCTTGACAAAATGTAGTTTGTCTTTACAGGATTATGTTGGTGAAACTCCTATTCATAAAGCAGCACGGTCTGGTAGTATGGATTCCATAAGTGCCCTTGTGGCTCATGGTGCGCAAATAGAGTAAGTGAGGTATTTTTTTTTGTTGATTGTTGTGTGTGTAGCTGACTAACTTAGATTGGTAAACATAGATACTAATTTCAAAAAGAAAAGTCAAAACAGCAGACACATGATCAAAATAATAATGACAGCTAGACATGTTCAACTGTAATGAAGCCTAAGATACTTTGCATGTCTAGTAATAAAATTCATTTTCCTTAAATGATACTGTTGTGCTACATTAGTGTTGCACATAGATCTGATACAGTAAAATATTTATCCTGCTTCTGTCATATGATCCCAAACTGTACACTTTATTAAGTATGTAGTTATTTTTTTGCAAGAAGTCTACACCTTTCACTGGTGAATAAATACAGAAAACAATGCAAAAGCAACATTATATGCAAAACAGCAATTCATGCACTTCCCCATTAGTTTATTACTGTTTGTTAGTGTACTGTGTATTTGCCCTGTTAACTTTTTTCTTTAAAGGTTTATGTACTGCAAAAACATTCAGAAAAGCTCACAAACTTTTGCAACTTACAGCATGGACAAAATGGATGCAGTTTTCACCTAGAAATGTTGAGTATAAGCTCTATGGCTTATAAATAATATCAATACTTTAGCAATTTGTTTTAATTAGAACTAGCTTTATTATCTTAAATGGTAACTAGTTACTGTATTTTAACCTGCACTATGAAATTTTGAAGTTGTAAGTGAAATAAGAATCAAGTAGTTAATTTATTGTTTTACCCTTTGGTTTCCATCTTACTGTTTTTGTAATGCTGCCTTGATAAATCTACCATAAAATTTAACTCTTAGTGGTGTCATAGAGTATTCAGGAAATATATTACCTTTTAAGTGAATAATAGTGAACTAATTGCTTTGTATGAAGAGATTTATTTATAGAAGAATGAAATAAGCTGTCTCAGTTATTGACAAGCATACTAAATCAGTCTTAAATGTATAATTTTCCATTTTTCACTCACTTTTGGATATTTTTAAGATAAACTTGGAATTAAATTTACTGTGGAATTGAGCAAACCTTAATTATCATCATCAATTAGTATGTAATCATGTGGTTTTTACAAAGTAGCCAACCAAAAGAAAAGTTGTGGAACTGCATAAACAATGTGAAATGGGTGAGATCTGTCTTTGGCCAAAGGTCTTTGCAGCAGAAGCAGTGTAGGTTTATAGGAGTTTATTGGACAGGAAATAATTGGAATTCTCAGTTTTCTAACTTTGAATTCCATCTATGTTTCAGTAGACTTGTCACAGGTTTTATAGGTAGTTAAACATCAGGTCCTGTCATGGGAATGGTAAAGTCAGGGATGGAACTGCAAAAGGCTGGTGGAGCAGCCCAAGTGTAATCATGTAGAGGATAAGCACTTGGCCCTGTCACCTGAGGGAATTAGCTATTTTCTGGTAGGAGTGAGGATTTTTTCCTTAGAATCCAGTTTCCAGGTTCAGTATGTTAAAGTAGGCCAAATCCATGTATGTGCTTTTGACACTGATTAATTTTGGGTCATCTGGTTTTGAAAGCTGGCCCTGATTAATGGTTATGTAGATTTCCTGATTTTTGTAAAAACTTGAAAATGTCGATGCCCAGAAGGTTTTGACTCCTTTATTTTATGGCTTCAGTAGAAGAAAAGGAGATGGATTTTAGTTACGTATTCGAGTTTGAATTTTTATATATTAACTGAAATGATGATTGACTGTATAAGACCAAATCAAGAATTTTATGAAATACAGAACTAAGCACTAACTAGAATTAAACTGTTGATCTGTACTCATGATGAATAAGTGCTTTTTATTTTTACTGGGATTAGATCATCTAATCCATTGTTTTGTTTTGTTGGCTTTTTTAATCTGTTATTATAGTTAACAGTATTGAAGTCTAGTTTCATAAGGATGAATGAAATACCTCTTGGGACTCCAAATAGTCAAATATACTACTTTTACATGATATTTAAAATATATGTCCAGAATGCCATCATCCCTTGTTTTTTATAGCAAGCAGAACAGGGATGCTAAGATTTTATTATTACACAAACACTAGTAACCAGTAATGTAATATTGCAAGAAATGTATTTTTTGTTAATGAGTTATTATTGGAATACTGCTGTTAAAATGAAGTAACTTGGACTAGAGAAATCATATTATCGCTGTACCACATTTCTACTTTATTCCCTCCTTTGGTTACATTGGAAGACAAAGAATATTGATAATAGTCAAGTTGAGGATAAAAGTAAGAATTTTAGTTTTAATAAAATAGCCTCACTTTAATTTTTCTAGTTTACTGTATTTCAGGCTTGTTAGTATATTGCTTTTACAGAGAAAGACAGGATGTTGCAGTCTATAAATCTCATTAAGCTGTTGCATTGTTTTCCTAATTGATGAGAGAGAATTTGGGTCTCTATTCCTGTGTAAATTTTTAATAATATTAAAAAATAATAATTGTACCCTAGTGAAAATATTTTGATTTTTTTTGTGGTATTTACCTTCTCATTTTAGCTGAAGCATATTCTGTGCACAGTATGTTCTACAGCCATAAAAATGGTTGCTCCACTAACTATGGTATTCATGGACCCTTGAAGAGGGGGAAGCAGGTGGTCACAATGTCCTCATATGAGTGAAAAGGTTTGCTGTGTAACTGACTTTTTAATGTGGATAGTACCTTTTAAAGTATCCATAATTACTGCTGGATTTTCACTACAAGGCATATTGATGCAATTTATCTATGGTTAATTGTGTATTATTTACCATGACAAACAAGTGTCCACAGCTCTTTATGGAGGAAAAGCCTTCTTGGTGCCATGTTTTGTTTTGCTGTTTTTCACTGACTTAAATGCTGTGTTTTAATGTAGTTACATAGATTGTATCACAGCATATATAAAAATACAAAATTCAGCTGTAAACACAGGACACCATTGAATCAAAAAGAAGCAGCAGATGCAAGTGTTGATTATCCCGAGTTGTATCATTTCCATTTGCATGTGGTGCACTTATGCATTGTATCCACTTACTTCTGAATAAAAATTCTTCTGCAGCTGTCATTTAAGCAGTTGTGTATTCCTTAGTGTCTTGATTTAGAGCTAAGAGGGAAGTTTCAAACACTGTCTTGTCCTGGGATAGAGAGAGGTCTAACTTGTGGAATAGGGTGTGGCTTGGTATGCACCCATCCAACTGAACACAAGTTCTTGCTTGCTTAAAGGTTTTATTGATCATGATAATTTGATTCGTATTGTAGAAAAATATTTGCCTGGCAGAAATCTTCAGGTTTTGGGTAAATTTGGGTTGTATACCATGATGGAATGTTATGAGATACCAAAGAGATAATTTCCTTTCTAAGTTAATATACTCTGTGATCTCAAGGTTTGAGTAGAAGTGCTGGGATAAATAAACCAGTACATCTGTTCCCACCAGATGACAGATTCATACTGTGATGTTGATCTGGTTTAGGCAGACACTTCAGGCACTTTTTTGTTAAAGCTGTCTGGCATTCATCTGAGTGTGTAAATTCAATGCCAGAAATGTCCTATCGCTGATATTAAGTTTTTCAGCAAGCCCTTTATTCTCATTCTTTGACAGAGACTTAAGTATTTTATTTCTTCTTTTCAAATTCGTGTGTCACCACTGCATTGCATTGTTTAAAAAGTCAACATTAATATCTTTTTTCTTCACAACTGCTCTCCATCCTCCCTAACAGGAATCTGTCTGCAGTGATTTTTTTAGTGGTGCTGGATCAGTCCTTTGTGAAATTCTTCTATTTGTTTCATGTGACCACTCTTGTGATATATCCGCTTTCATTCTTCTCATTTTGTACTTTTGAGATTTCTTGACTTCGTGAAAACCAGTTACCTCTAATGAAGAGAGAGGAGAGTAGTGATGTGTCGTTTTCATGACAACACAGAAGTCGGCCATTCCTTCGTGATGTGAACCCTCAGTTCCTTTTTAGTCTGGAGGGGAAGCTTACATGGCCTGTTCTCTTGAAGGGTCTCAGGATTCAGAAATCTGTCTTAGTTAATGGATATCTTCTTAATTTCTTAAAATCTTAGGAGCTCCTTGCACGTTTTTGATATGATCTTGCTTTTCTTGCCTAGCTAACCTAACAAACAAACTTCTAATACTGAACTGCAGTCCATTTCTGGTGTTGACATACTTGTGAAGTGCCACGACTGTGTCACCTTTTTACTTCAGAAGCTGTATTACAGCATAGATTCAGTGCTGAAGAACCAACTTCCTCCTTTACTGTAGTCATTAAATTAACCTCATCTTGAGAGTAATGCTTCAGGATCTTACTGATCATTTGGATTTAGGTGCTTTTTCAACAGAGAGGTTCTATCTGTTACTTAGTATATGAGTGCTTCTATAATGTTTGGTACTTTCCAAACTCAGGCTGCTTCATACTCATTCTTTTTATAAACTTGATTGCCTGACTGCCTCTAGATATTAGTTAAACTGCTGGATTAATTGCTGTTGTTGCATTATTAGACATTGTTGTATAATTAAGGAAAAATATATGGCAGTTCTTGTTTAATTGTACATAACAAGCATTTTAAGGGCCATCACTGTAGTATTCTTGTAGTGACAGTTTTTTAGTGTAGAGGATACATGTGTTGGAATTTATTCTGCCTTCCCCATTTATATAAATCCTTATGGAAAGGCAAATTTGAAGTGGCATGTATATTTCAGTGGTGAAACACTAATTCTTCAAAAAAACTACAAATAAAGCTTGGTAATTTCTTCCGTGTTTGGTTTCCTGTTTAGTTGCTATGGTTAGCAGTATTGAGGTGCTTTGTAGGAGCTTGTGATTATGAAGTACAGCAGTAATTTGGATTTAGTCTGAAGAAAAGATTTGGAAATACCAAAACAGAATGCATATGCATGGGTAACTGATAAAAAACGAGAGAGCCTCAGTCTTACAGTAAACCAGTCTGGAAAAATGTAGTTGTCAGAGTTACTGACATTCCTCATAATTGCAGGAAGCTGAGGCAAACTCATGCCACTGAATTCCTGTTCAG